TTGTTCCTACAGAAGCAAGGAGAGAAATATGGAGGTTTCTATCCCCAGAGGTAAAGCTTATGTCTTCTGCCTCAGAATACATAAGAGGGTGGCAAGTCGATTTTGGTTTTAAACAACAATTGCAGGGAAAAAAAATCTCCATGTACTGCCTCTCAATGCCCCACTGTATAGCATTGAGACATTCTGGTTTAATAGGTAAGGCACTGAACAGGAGGCCTGATTTCACCTGGTTCTGTAACAAGCTCCTTATTGTGATCTTTAGAAAGTACCATACAAGGAATCTAAATTCCCTGCCAATCCTCCAAGTTGATTTGTCTGAGAGTCTCCCCGGCTCCTAATTTGTTTGTACATGCAGCCAAGGCTGGGATTTTCCTGTTTGCAGGTGGATGAATATTTCCCTATCCTGGATAATGTCCCACTCTTTCCTTGGCCCTTCATCTGATCAACATTTGCTGTCAGAAGCAACAGAAGTTTCACAAGCCAAGCTTTAGAGTCAGAGACAGGCATGGACCTTGTTTCTTTTAGCCCAGAACCTTAGTTATGTTTTTGACTCTCTGAAACTGGCTTCCTATTTGTAAACTGGGTATAATGACATCTACCTTGGAAGATCATGTTTGATACAACAATGCACATGAAACACTTTAAAAAGTGCATGGCATATAACGGTTCCAAAAGTGGAAGTTACAGTCATTCACATCATGTCCGTTTTAAGGGGTTTGGTGTCTTGGCAAACTCATGCCATGCATTCTTGGTCCACTGAAACACCCTTAAGTATGTGGCCAATGAACTCACCGTTAAACCCCAAACTGGTTTTACTGAGTGAAAAATATAATCTGAGAGCGAGAGGTGAGTGGTTTGGGCAGTAATTTATTTTTTAGGTTATGTGGAAGAGGAGGAAAGTAGATTTCATTAAAGAGGAGAGAGGAATTTGGAAAACAAGCATGATCCAGGGAGAATTTGATGCAGTTGGGGCATGTGATGGGCAATCTGCATCTTTCTTGCTGCATTAATCTTACCATTTATCTGCCATAATAAATGTAGCATTGTTGGGGTGAGATCTATTTTTGGTATTTATCTGAGGGTGAAGTCATACTTCAGGTGGACACAGGTTTAATAACACAGATGGTATAAAGAAATCCTATTCAGGGCTGGGTTTGCAGTTCAGGGATAGAGTGCTTGCTTAGCATGTGTGAGGCACTGGGTTTGATGCTCGGCACTACATAAAAAATAAATAAATGAAGTTAAAAAAATCCTATTCAGAACACATATTCTGAGGATTTTAGGCAGATTATAATTGTAGGTAGTGACAAATCTTGGATACTCACTTTATTGTCTATACTCTTGATCTTCAAATCTCGCTCTAGCACACAAACTGGAAAAATGGGACCTGTTTGCTGGTCCACCTGGTCCTCATGTAGCAGTGAAATAATTTCTAAATGTGAAGGCTTCTGAGATCACCCTGTGACATGGGACAGTGCCCTCTACTGCTGATCAGGGAAACATGCAGTCTAAGTCAAATCAAGGGAGCGTCTACCTCCAGGAGCCAAAGCAAGGTGCTCTATTGTATTGATGGAGACACTGATTGGAAAGCCATCTGCAGGCACCACAGCTACTCTCAGCTGTAGTGATTCTGCAGAAGCAGCCATCCAACCACCCAACAGCACTTTAACTCCCCTATGCTGTTTCTAGGCAGACTGATTCCATGCGACATCTGAATGTTCCCTTCCCAGTTTCCACTGCAAACACCGTAGAGCCTGGTGTTACTTTAGCTAACACCAGAAAGAATTTGGAAACAGTAATTTTAACCATTAGCTTACCTTTAAAACCTTACCTTTTTTAAAAAAACTGTTTCTGAGTATATCTAATTAAAAATTTCAAGCCACTTTAAGGAAGTCTCACTATTAGCTACGAGGAAATAAAGGCACATAAAATATTAGTCCATTGTCAAAAGTTTACACTGGCAAGGAATAAACCTACCATTATGTCTCTTTTTCTTTTCATAAACCATCAAAAACACCACAGAATCTCTTTCTATAGTAACAATATGGTGAAAATAATTTGCTGGCTTCTCTGACTTCTGAACAGATGTCTCTGCTTCTTATTCTCACCCTCAGCTACTGGATTCTGGATCTGACCCCAGAATGCCGTCAGCATTTACCTTTACTGTAAATCACAGAAGGGGCAATTCTTTAGATTCAAGTTGGCATCAGGTATTTGAGTCCTTTACAACAAGTCCGGAAGTGGTTTTTCAGCATCATTCCTCTTAGCGACAGCAGAAAAAATATAGTGATGATGAAATATTCATGAAAGGAAAAAAATTTTTAAAGATGTTTTCTTAAAATAAATGATTCTAAAACTACAATGTGTGAAAGCACTTTTTCTTTTATGATTCCAAGTTTTAAATCCATGAGTTTACAGGGTGTTGTTTTTTTTTTTTTGCTGTATCACATGGTGGGATGCTGGAAAGTGGGAGTTTGCCACGATTTTTTTTCTTCTGCCAAGAGTGAAGTTCAATTTAATGCAGCTTTGGCCACTCAGTGGGAAGAGAGTACCAGTTTTCATGGAGTCCTAGAATTCAGCTGCCACTCACTGCAGGAAGACATAAGTGGTGTACAGAACACAAACCTTCATTGGAAACCCTCAAGTCCTTTACATGGAGTTGGATATTCCCACGGAGGGGATGGACAAGTAACTCAGAGTTATTATTATTGTCAGCATAGGAGAGTTTGTGTATCACTGTAATTATTTCAGGACAAGAGTATTTGGTTTCCTCGGAACCCTGGAGATTTAAAGAATTTGACAGTTCCACTCAGTATAACAGATAAAGTTGATCAATTTTTTGATAACTTCTGGCTGGTTGCTTCCATTTTAAACATCGAAAATAGAAGATGGTTTTGTTCTTCATTAAAGAATGGCTTTGTTGACATGTGGCCAGCTTATTGAGCACGTGACCTGTCATTTCCCACTCAGTCTAGGATAACCAATGAATCTGATGTCTCCTCCTTTTGGACATTATCACAGGGAATTACTCTCTCCTCCATTTTCCTATTATGGGACTCATCATGAATGCATGAGATATACCTATGTCTCCTTTCTTACCTTCTCAAGGGCAGATAAATAGGTCTTCCTGTCTTGTTTCTCCAACATTACATAGTAGTAAGGATTTAACAAAGGTTCTTTCTCCCCCTTTCCATTCTCTCCTCCAATCATAGTCAACATCAGCTCCTCATTCTGAGCAATAATTATTGTGAAATTTAGATACAGAGATGTTGCCTACATAGGCCAGTTGATAGCAGCTGAGGAAACCCACGTTTGACCATAGAAATCAATGGCAGCTCTAAAGCTGCCTTTTACTACACTAAATTTCAGAAGAGTGGGAAGTGCCTGGAAGAACTTGTGCACCCTGGAGCCTTCCATGGAGGGCTCATTAGCCCTTTGTTTTTTTGAAGGCTGTCTTTAGGAGGAAAGACTCCTGACCTTCAGGGTGGGGTTATCTCCAGAAGGCAGCCTGATTCCCCCACTGAAAGTCTTCCTAGGGAGAGGCAAGCAGGAACTGGAATCCATCTTGATTCCAGAAACTTGCCCCTGGAGCTCAGGGCTGATTGTTTGCATGGAAGGGGAGATGAACCTGGAGCCTGGCAGTGGCTCCTGAGCATGGTGCACTCTTGGCTGTGCTCAACACCGCAGGGTGCCATGCACCTGCCCACCTAACTCTACAAGACACACAGGGCGAGCAGGATATAGAAATGCATCTAAGTTTTTGTACAACAGTTCTGATTTCTTTTGTACTGGTATCTTTCTATTATCAAGTGTGTCTCTATTTGTATGATAAATTATTTGAATGCCTTGTATAAGTTCACTTTTCAACAGTGACACCGTGTGGCTTCAATAAGCAATAGCAGTACACTGAGGCATCTTAAGTTCCTTCAGGGCCTATGTGGAAGCCAAAATGACCCCGCTTCCTGCCTATGGACCTCCGAGCTGTCCTGACAATTTACTGGGGGGGGGGGGAATTTCAAGAGGGAGTTTGAATACGTCCTCTTAATAAGACATGGGTACTTCAGCGATTTTTATTGGAAAAATAGAAAGTGTAGACAAATATGTTACTCTGAATTTGTGAAGCAGTTTGAACAGTCATATACTATTTATTTTAGAATCCTTGTTTCCTATAGCTCTAGAGACCCTATTAATTACATCATCTTTGAGCTCTTTGCAGTAGTTTTTCAGTAGCTTATTCTATGACCTTGAGAAGTTGTAACTTTTGCTGGTAGAAAGACATATAAAGTGAGCTACAGCTTTAAGAGTTCATTTAATCACTAGACTTTAATGACTTCAGCATTCCTTTCCCTTTCTCTGGGAACAGAGCCTCTTTGGCTGTGGGAAACACATTTCATATAATTCAGGTGGGGCTAATCCTTATCTCTTTCCTCCCCCTTTACCTCTCCCTTTCCCTTAACAAGGAGTTGGACACTGATTCATCCTTAATCATTCAGAACTCCCATCCTCTTGGCCACATTTATTGTGGAACAGGGATAGGCAATTGACTCCAGATAGGACCAGGGTGTGTTCTTTCTGGATTTTACTACTGGAGCTACTGGAAAAAAGACTTTTTTATTCTGCTAAGATTCTAATCAGGTAGTATGCAATTTAGGCTATTCTTGCCACTAAAAGGAGGCTTCCTATCCAGAGAGAAAAAGATGAAGCCCTGATGACATTGTTTTGAGGCTTCTGTATCCAGCCTTGCTGGATAAAGTTTTGTTTTTGTTGTTTTTTATATATATATGTAAACTGGCTTAAGCTAAAATCCCTTATAACCTGAGAGTTCCAGTATAAGCAGTGAACAATCTTCTGTGCTTCCGGGACTTAATCTCCAGATTTTTGAGATTCACTGGAATTAACTGATCACCTCTAACTTTGCTTTAGCATCTGCAGAATTCCAAAAGATGGCCAGGTTTGTTTACTATCAAGAACTATTCAGCTCATCCATATAGCCACAGAAATCTGTTCAGAGAGCATTTTACTGGGCAAGGTTAATCTTAGGAAAATGATACTGAGAGAGAAGGAAGTTGGTTGGATAGGCAAACCTCAAAGGAAAAACCTGAGGAAAACTTCTTCCCTGCACACGTTCCGCCACCTCCCTTCTGTAGGCGCACTCCACTTGCCCTCCATTTGTCCAAGCATGCCTCTTGGGATCAGTGAGGTAACATGTCCTCTGTCTCGAGCGTGAGAGATGGAAAGAGGAAGCATCTCAACTTCCACAAGACACCCCTGTTCAGTAGTTTGGGCAGTAGGTTGACGAGGAGATCTGGATTTATAAAACTTAAATGAAAGAGCACGTATCCCAGCAGTCTGATGAAAAACAGGGTGGTGAAAAAGAGGTAACGGAAAACCCTGAAAAGAGAAAGCCAAGGAACTGTTAACCAGGGGCTAGAAGACTTAGAACAGATTAGAAGTCCTACCTGAGTGCTCGTCTGGCTGCTTCTTGATATCCCCATGTGTCTCATCAATTGTCAGCTTCTTTCCTGGCAACCCTGCCTAGACACCTGCCCACGGGTGGTGGTCGTTATTCACTGTGTTTTATTTTCCTGGTAGCATTTATCACTATCTAAAATAATCTTGGTCCCTCATTTGTATTATTGTTTTCCTTGTTTTGGCAAATTGTTTTCCAAAATCGTTGCATCAAATCATGCTCCATCAGCAAGGTATGTATTTCTGGGAGCCGCATGCTCTTCCACACTTACTATTTATCAGATTTTAAAATTTTTGCCCATCACATGGGTGTAAAGCAATATCTTGGGAGCCGCATGCTCTTCCACACTTACTATTTATCAGATTTTAAAATTTTTGCCCATCACATGGGTGTAAAGCAATATCTTATTTGATCTCAGTTTGCATTTCCTTGATGATGAGCGATGATGCTGGACATCTCTTCCTAGGTTTATAGATCTTGTGTGTTTCCTCAGCTCATTTATCTACTAGATAGTTGGGGCTTTTCTTATTGATTTGTAGGAGTTCTTTATATGTTCTCCTCCAATCCATTTTCATTGTGTGTAATGCTTTATGTTACCCCAACTTTATAACTATAACTTGCTCCAAGGTATTAAAGAACCAAAAAAAATTTTTCCTTTAAGAGGGTTTGTCAATCTTTAACTAGAATCAATGCTTTCTCTGTCTTGTTCACAAAATAATTTTCTATCCCAAGGCTGGAAAGATATTTATATTTTCTATTAAAAGTCTGGGTAATTTAAAAAATATATTTTTTAAACTCTTTCTACACCTTCTTTATTGCCCTTCCCTTCAAGAGATACCTCACCATTGGAATGTGGACAGGACTTAATGACCTAATTCCCCCCCCCCCAAAAAAAAAACCCACCAGAATTCAGAGAGAATGAGTGTGTGGTTTTCTGGCCTACACAGCACAGCTTCCTCCTTATTCTTCAGAGGAAGCCAGCTGTGAGGATCCTCAAGCAGCGCCCTGGAGAGGTCCATGTGGGGGAAGAAGAGAGGCCTCCTGCCAACTACTCTGAAAAACTCACCAGATGTGTGAGTAAATTACCTTGGAGGCAGAACCTCTAGCCCCAGCCAAGCCTTCAAATGTCTGCAACTTTGATCAACCTCTTAACTGTAACCTTATGGCATATCCTGAGCTAGACCCACTTAGCTAAGCAGATCCCAGATCCTTAGCCCACAGAAACCATGCACTAATAAATGTTTGTTATTTGAAAGCACTAAGTTTTGGGGATAATTCATTGTACAGCAAGAGATACATAATAGAGTTCTAAAGATTTTTGTTTGTTTTGACATTTAAGTCTTAACACATCTGGACTTGCTTTTTGTATATGTTGTATATAGTGATCCATCTAGATTTTTCCTCACATGGATGACACTTCCTCCCCCCTGCTGTTCTTACTGACATAATCATGGTCACACGCCAAAGTGCTCTGTGTGCACTGTTTCTGAGCCCTTATTCTATTCTACTGGTCAGTTTTCCAATTCATGTGCCAACATCACACTCTTGTAATTACTACAGTTTTGTAGTAAGTCCTAATATTCCAGAAGGGAACGTTCTCCAGCCCATGGTCTTTAAAATTATCCAGGTTATTCTTGATCCTTTACTCTTCCATATATAGTATATTTGGGATCATTTTATTAAGTTCTCTGAAAAACCTTTTGGGAAGTTTGATTGGAATTGAGTTGAATCTGTGAATCATTTGGAGACAATTGATGTTTTTATGATGTAAGGTTTTCTAGCCATGATAATTCTTATTTCTTATTTCATTCATTTTGTAATTAAAAATTCTTAATAAATTTTATAAATTAACTTTATAATTAAAATTTATTAATAAATTTCCTCAAACTTCTGTATGGAGTCTTGATTTACTTTTTAACTGATGAATTACTTAACCCTTGCAGTTTAAAAAAAAATTCACATGAGCAAACCTCTACCATTTCTTTTCCTATATTATCTTTACCCAGTTATGTTAAGCTGCCTTCTACCCCAGACAAATTTACTACCCACCTCCACTCACCTGTCAAAACAACCTCTTCCCACCAACTTTCTCTCTTTTTGTGGTTGATCTTGGTGACAGGCCCAAATTCATAGTAATACAGCATTTTGTTCAGAATTAAAATCAGAAGGCTTTTACAAACTTCTTCCAAACCATGCTCACTGAAACTGAATTCAATGCCTAAGAGGAGGTTCTGGGATTACATTCTCAGGGAAAAGTCCTAGGAATAATCTAACTTCCTCTCTTGAGTTACTGCCCAATATATAAGTTCCCTACAAGATGTAGGGGCAGAACAAGAGAAGAGATGTTTGTAGTTTGATGTGATGAGCTACACTTCCAGGATATCTTTTGAGTTCCCTTTAGGATGCCAACTCTCTTAAAGGCAGTCAAGCCTTATCCTAGGAGATTCCATGCTGGGCTCTGGTGTTACAGTATAAATACGAGGACAGCCTAGGAGTTCTGGGAGCGGGAGTGTGCAGAAACCTGCTGACTGTTTCAAAAATGTTGTATGTAGGCGTATTGGAATATATAGTATTTTACTTATCTGATATGAAGGGGTATCTGCCTTAAGCAAATTTCCAGACAATTGGAGCTGACCTTTAAGCACCAATAATTTTATGTTAACCATTTTGATGGAACTCTAAATCATATTTCATACCTCTTTGAATATGTTTCTGTATGTCTTCTTTATAGCAAATATTGAACATGATTTAACCTTTTCTCAAAAATGTAGGGGCTTCTTGAATACCAATTTTACTTTGCTATTGTAGTGATTCCCTCAGGACCGATATCCACTCAGGTGTTTTAATCTTGTTCTTATTCTGTTTAACAAGTATTTTTTGAGCGATGATTGTGTGCTGGATACTATTCGGTGCTCTTTTCACAGTTATTTTCTCTCCCCATTTCTAATCTACTGATGCCACTGGAAAACCACATGCCTCAAGCTCACTCAAATTGCTAGAGGGAGTAAATCTGAGATTGGCTGTCTCTCCTTCAGGGGAACAGATTCTTGTTCCTCATGACTAGTAGGCTGTTGGTTTCTAATTTGGGAAGTTGAGATTGTTCATTGCTTTTGGATAAGGGACTCAACATTAGAACTGAGAAATGTAGGCAATGATTCTGATTTGCTAACTTGACTCTCTCTGTTTACAAGGGTCTCCTTGTCCAGGTTTGCTCTCTGCCAGGGTGGCTACTGGAGCTCCTAGTTTTCCAGGAAAATCTCTTACTTGAAGATATTTTGCTTACCTTTTACTGAACAAAGCTGCTCTTTTTCGGATAGAATTGTACTGGAAAAAAAGAAGAAAGGACATTGATAACTAAGCAAATTTTGGAAGTTATCACTTTCAAATGAAATTCAGTGAGCCATCAATTAAAAGTTAATTTAGAAAACATTTTATAAATTCTTGTCATATGTATAAGCACATGTAATTTTCAAAGATGAAAAGTCTTTTACATATTATCATTTTCATTATCATTTTACATACTGCCATAAATAAATGGAGGCACACAAAGGTAAAGTATAAGATCATATAATTAGCAAGTAGCTGAGCCAGGTCTGGAAACTGGACCATTGGACTCCACCTTGTTGGTTCTCAAAACTCTACAAGTCTACTTTCTACTTAGCCTGTGGTCCTAGAGAGGCTTATAGGCCATAACAAGCAAACAAGCATTTTCTAAGATATGTTTTAAAAGCTATAAAATCTAAAAATGAGGATATATTCTGGATATCTGTGGCATCTCTCATCCAAGATATTTTCTCAGTTATTTTATTGTCCTTTTAATTAACTTCTGAGATCAAAAAGAAGAGAAATTATGATAACATTTTAGGGCTGTAGAAATGAAGCTCCCAGAATTGGAATTAGAAATAAACTTTTTGAACTACAAGTAGAGACCTAGAGCTTGATGAGACTATGAAGTATTTGGCAGTTGCTCAGGTAGCCAGCCCCTCTATCAAGTTGCTCTAATGTCTCTAGTTACTGAACCATCATGTGGCTCTGACGCCTGGTGAAGACAGCTCTACTTTTCTCCATAGCTAGTTAGAAGGAATACTTTGATGAGACATGGGTATATATGGTGAAGCATGCTAAGCTTGGTTCTAGGAAGTTGGGTTCAGTTAATTTCAAGAGTCTCATTTGCTGAGTGGAATGTTCAAGCTTGGGGACCAGAATAGCGGGGACTATGGTCATCATGGAGATGGTCTAACATTTTCCGAGCATCTGGAGGGTTTCAGAACAATGGCCAATGGTTGATATTTTCTTTTAAGTTAGAGATAAGTGATTTTTTCTGAAATTACCATTTATCTTGACTACACAAAAATATTGGCAATTGCCAACTTTGGCTTTGAAGTCAATAAATTATAAAATAAGAGTCCAATGAAAGTTTATCTTTTAACTCTGTGTGCTTGCTGCTGTGAGACATCAAACAGTCCATAAGGACTGGTGTTCTACATCTGGAAAGGCCTTCAGGCCTTTCCCCGTGAGTTGGTGACTTCATGATGTTAAACATGATGTTAAACATGGCACACTCAAGTGGTACCATAAAGAAGCAATAACTTTATGTGTTTTAACAGACAGGCCAATTTTTGGTTAGATGATGATGAATGCCTAGTACTCTGTGCTATAAAAGACTTGGGACCATGTTAGGATCAAAGGGAAAGAGCTCTATCATTATATGTAGCATTTATTGGCCTCCTTTCTATTAATGCTTCTTTTGGCTTCCATTCTCTTAAGTTTTGTCTAGTTTTTGGAGATTCTATCATTTGCATGACTGTAAGAGAGAACAGCATAGTTTTTTTTTTAGCATATTGTTCATGTATTTAGCATTGGGATGCTTTAGAATTATAGTTGGTTATTCTCAGAATATGTACGTGTTTGGTGGCTTACTTTTGGAAACCCCTTTAAAAGGCAATGATACCAAGAAGAGCTGAAGAGGGAATGGGTGCTTACCTCATTGTTTTGACTGTTACAATCTTTTCTCACAGAGTCCATGCTTAAGACTTTTGATCTAGAGGGAAAAGAACCAAGAAAGGGATTGAATAAGGTATTCAAATATCCATACTACAGAGTGAGTATTTAAAAACAGCTTTATATTCCAAATCTGCTCTGCCAATATTGTAGCCACTGGCTACTTTTGGCTGTGTACCTTAATTAAATAAAAATTCAGACTCAGTCACACTAGGCATCTCTCAGGTACTTAGCAGTCACATGTTGTTAGTGGGCCACTTACTGGATAGCACACAAAGTTCTCTTGACAACCCCACTCTAGAATCCCAACAGTCAAGCTCTCACCTAGGAATCAACAAGGATCTAGAAAGATTTGAAGGTGTCTTTTCTAGGGAAGAACTCCAAGTCCTAGGACCTGGCTTCTAGGTCCCAGTTTGTACTTGTTCTATTAAGAGGGTTTAGGTAGTTTTGGTCTCCTGCTCTTGATTGAAAGATCCCCAAATATTTAATAAATAGAAATAATTTATGACTGAGTTAAGGTTTAACTTCCAAAAAAGGGTCAAGAAATAGAGGTGAGATTTTTGGTTTTGGTTTCATGCCATTTGCTACTCTTGAAAACTTAGGAAATATTTTTTTTGGGAGGGGAGACTTTCCTTAATCATTTTTGACTTCTAATGGTCAATACAGTGTACAGTTCTGAGTTTCATAATTTGGTAACTGTAGTTTGTTTAGAGATGAGTTTCACACCTATCCCATGTAGTTGGGTTTGGTATATTTGAGGGAATATCCTACTTGTCAAGGTTCCAGGCCACTAACACTTTTTCAAATACATATTTCTGCTCATAACATAAGCCCATATAATAATGTGATAATGCAATAAAAGCATAGTGGGAGATGTGTTTCTGTAGTCTTTTAAGACTGGAATTTTAAAACTGCTATGGTCTAGCAGAGCTCTACCAGATCACTAACAGAGGGGAAAGATGTGGCATCGGGCTCATTCAATTTCAGATGGGAACTGGGCTGAGGGTGTTTGCTCTGACTCAGGCTGAGATGGAGTTACCACTAAACCAGGATGTTCCTTTGTTTGCCAAAGCTCACACTTCTCTCTCAAGGAATCGAGTCTCTAGTTCTTCTTCTATTTTCCTCAAAGTTTCTTGGTATTTCTTCAAAGAGAAATAAAGGAAGCCACAGTTACTACACTTAAGATGCTTTGTGTCTTTTCAAAGCATACAGCACTTTTTTTTTTAAGTCATAGCATGGATGGTAGGTATTCCTGTGCTACTTGCTCTGCCTTCATAGGCCCCAACCACCTCTCCTCCTGCTCCCTTGTTAGTCTCTGTCCATTGGGTAGGTTCTCAGGGGTGTCTGGGATCAGAAACAGCAGAAGTGTTCCTTGTTACTCTAACAACACAGACATGGGAAGAGCAGGATGGTGATTACCAGGAGTTGGGGAACAGTAGAGTGACATTAGTAGTAGGGTGTTGATGACCTCAAAGTCCCTTTTAGTACTGTCTTGAAGAGTTAAAAAAAATTCTTCTAAAAAGCATTCTTAGGACAACCTGGTTCCATTCCATTTTGTGCCTAAACAAACCCTTTGCTTTCCCTTTCTCAAGAAGCTGTACCTTTATGCAGAGGGCTTGATCTTCACAGAGCCGGGCCACAAATGCATAATCTTCCATTACCTGGGAAACCAAAATTGGGTCTGAAATTTCACTCAATATATTGTTGTAGGAGTATGGACCAAAATGTTCTAGATTTTTTTTCCTGTACATATGAATTAGTTTCACTTTTTTGAGGATTAATAAACCATAACTTACTGCCCAAATAGGAGTTATCTTGGAGAAGTTGGAAAGAGATACTAGTTGGTAGAAGATGCAGATGATAGACTGTATCTTACAAAACATGTTAAAGTGAAGGTACCCTAGGGGATTGTAGCCATCTTCCTTTTCTTACTACCTTCTAGCCCCATGATGGTCTTAAGTATAGAACCTGATTATGTCAATCATTTGAGAAATGCATTAGATTATCTGACTGAGGATCAAGCTTCCCTTCTTGGGGAGAAGGAACACTGAAGTCCCTATGGTTACCTTGACCAGCTCCTTTTCTTGGTCTGCACAGGAAGCTTCCAGCTGTTGTAACTTAAACTGTAGAAAGGAAAGGAGATGGCTAACTTAGCAAGGTGAAAACTGTACAGGAATAGCATGTTATCTTATAGCTGCACTCACAGGCTGCTGAAGAGCATAAGGCCATAATTTCAGATGTCTGTTTGATAGAGGAGTTAAACATCCAATGCTCTTTGCGGCTGCTTGGTGAACATACTCTTCTACATCTAGTATCTGGTGCTATCTTCATTCTTGGACTTCAGTTCTTAGCTTCTTTCTCTTACTTAGCTATTTCTCTTGGAGATAACATTAGTCTTGAAAACTTTGCTCATTCTTTCACCTTTATATAGCTAGTCAGAATCCAAGGCTTTTACTTACTCCTTTCTCTCTCTCTTTCTTCTTCCTTCTTTTACTTTCTTAAATATTCAGTTAAAGACTATTTTGTATCAACCACTAAGCTAATGTGAAGTGGGCTGGGGAGGGTAGTGCTGAGGTTCTAGTGGGGAGCAGGGAAGATGTCTCTCCTCCCTCACAGAACTGATGTTCTAGCTGGGAGACAGAACAGATAGGTTAACAAGGCAATGGCTTGTGCCATGAAGGAAATAAAACCAGATCAATGTGACAAGAGGACGTGATGGTGTGAGAGGATGATGTGACAAGGACATGGGAAAACCCTCTCTTGAGCTGAAATCTAAATAGTAAATATCAGCCAAATGGAGATTTGGAAGAAATATGTTGCATGGGGAGGTCATTTTAAAAGCCAAGAGCAGGAAGTAACATAAATTTGGTATCTATGAAGTCGGAGGTCTGGTACGTAGGTGAAAGGATGGGTTGTATAGGACCATGTAGCTTCTAGAAAGTTTGATACTTTATTCCAATTGCAGTGGGAAGCCAGGAGAGGGCTTGAAATGTAAGGATGCAATCTAATTTGTGATTTTTAAAAAAATAGTCTTTTTTCTGTGCATGGAAAGTGGATTTTGTAGGTAGGGGTAAGTATAGAAGCTGGGAGATGAGTTATGAGGTGACCTCAGTCATCCAGGTTATGGTAGCTTGTGACAGAAGGGTAGTAGTAACAGTAACCGAGAGGATGTGTGCATTGAGGATATGTATTGGAGGCTGAGCAGATGTACCATCCCTTCTTCTCTTTTCAGCCCTACTTTCACCTGGATGCCATTATTTGACATCCATCCCCATCTCCCATTCCAAAAATTATGTCTAGGGTTCATCAGCCAGATTTTCATAAGCTATAGTTTCAAGCCAGTGATGTGAATCACAGGGGTTAAAGCAGGATCCCAGGAAGCTTCTGAACTGACCAACAGCAGAGGAACAGAAGCAAAAGAGTTGCTGCTATATATTTCATGCATTTAGAGATTTCATGCATTTACCACCTGGGAATTTACAGAATAGATGTTTCAAAGGGCTAATAAAACACTAGAACTCCTTAGGACTGAGCTGAGTGCTGCTAGCAAAATAGTGAGGGTGGCTGTGACAAAGGCTGGGGACTTTATCATTTGTCAGCTAAGCTTGGCTGACATAGTCAGTACAGGAAGACCTAACATGACATGGCTGGGTTCTGTCTGGGGATTACCTCCAGAAAAACCTGTTCTGAGCAAAATCAAGGACCTTGGAAGAAAATCTGTCTCCTGACAGTGGCGGTCATATAGCAAACACAATCAGCCAGGGGTTGGATCTCCTTTCAACAGGGATCCGAGCCTTTAGAGGAGGTCCTAGAAAGCACACAATCCTATTTGAGGTTCCCTCCAGGGACATTTAGTCCATCCCATTATTCCCGATGATTCTGAGGCTATAGTGGGAATAGAGCCTTGGGGTTGGGGGACTCCCTGAGGACACACGTTTGCAGATGGAGTGGTAACAAGGGTGTAATCGGGGAGAGGGCACAGCAGTGTGCAAAGGTCCTGAGATGGGAAAGATCTGGGCCCTGCAACTGGGAGTCCAAAGCTTAAAGAAACTGAGAGAGGACAGAGAGGGGTCAAGGGGCTGAGAGTAGCTCTATCTTTAGGGTGGTGGAAAGCCTGAGAGGTTGTGTGGAGGGTCTGTTTGTCAGAATCAGATGATTCTGGGATATCTGGAGTGCTGGTGGGGCTGTCCTTCCTCCCTTACAGCCTCTTTCTAGTGAGCCTTAATGGTGGCCCATTAAGCCCTAAAAGTGTTCCCAACCCTTTCTAATCCAAACACCAATTTCAACCTGATGCATTCTCAGACTCTGATTTCTTTCTTCCCAGGTATGTTTCCTGGATGAACACAGCCCAGCAAACCTACTTGGTGACTTCAGACTTGTTGCTTTTGTGACCACCAATACTAAATTGGCCAGAAAGAGGTAGGGGAATAATACTATATACTTGCATTTTCTGCTTCTATTTTCAGTGTATACATTTCTTCAGAGGCTTCATACACACTCTGAATTGTGGGCTTTAGAAGGTAAAGAGAAATCAGATAAGGACAGAGATGTAATTCTGGAGAAAGGGTCAAGAAAGAATTTTATCTGCTTGCTTAATTTAATCTGCTTTCTGAATTAAAAACAGTCTTTAATTCTTGTTTTTTGATCAGATGGGTTATGGTTGGTCCCAGGCTCTTAGCTCTGGAACACAATTAGAGAAATATTAAGCATTGAATGTTGTATGATTAGGAAGTAGAGGTTATAAAATACTTGAGTGACTGAGTAAATCCTTTTTTGGGCTGGAAACAATAACAGCACTCAGTCGACTTACAAATCCTAGTTTTGCCTCTATGAATTCATATACACACCTCAGCCTTGTTTTTAAACAACTGTAAAATTGTGTGACTTGTAAGAGTTCGGTTATCCAAAGAAGGAAAGAATATATTATATACACAATCTCATGTAATTCTCAAATTGAGATTGGGAGGAAGTGATTAAATTGCCCAACTTCGTACACCAAATTAAATGCTGGAGCTAGGATTTAAATGAGGGACTACAGCTGCCTCAACTGCAATATGTGTGTGTGTGTGTGTAGTATGTATGAGTGTGTGTCTATGTATAGACACATATATATGTATATAAGTAGGGGTGCTCTCTTCTTCCTAATAGAAGAAAGAACAAAAATTCTGGCTTCAGAGATTCTTTACTAAGGCAAAGGAGGAGAAATTGGCACTCAGTGGCTCAGGCTTAAGCTGTATATGAACAAAAAATACAAAGAATTTATCAAAATTTTGACAACTGTTTCCAACTTGACAGCATATTTTCTGGTCAGGTAGCCCAAACCCATTCAGCATTTCTTTTTCATTTACCGTTGAGTCTTCTGAAGTTTCATCCTGGTCACCTTCTTCATGCTTGTTTTTCTTTCGTGATTTCCTGGTAAGCTATAGTTTTGAATGAGAAATATATCTCAAATAAAAGCATGCATTCAATAAAAGAAAACAAATACACCCTCTGGTGGGTGTGGATCAGTCACTTTGGTTTGATGAAAGCCACCAGGAGATGGTCCCTTGTGAAATACCTGGTGTCCTGTGGACACACCTTTGCTCTACCTCTGTCTCCTTCCCACATTACGTTGTTCACCAGAGTTAGTGACCACTCAAAGCAAGAGGACTTCCTGGAGCCCCCTGATTCATGTTGGGTTGCTCAGGGCTGCAGACCTGAGTCAGAGAGCAGGGTAAGCCTAGGAAGCCCCGTGCAATCTGAAGAAGGGTTGCATTGGAGGAAATAGGTGGAGAAATAAGAGCACCTCTTTGGGGATTAAGTTAGTTGTATGTGTTTTAAACTCTCTATTGGGATTAAAATTAACCTCTCACCATAAAAATCCCAGTTAGTCACATGGGCAACATGTCTGCTGGAATTCATTTTCTTGTGATAAAATGAAGAACCCATGGGATTACTAAATACCTCATTCACTCCTTTCCCCTCATGCTTGCGGAGAACATCTATGGCATTTAGGTCATAAGCTTTGGTCTTGGGAAGTGGGTCAGAGGTGGTCTCTACTCCAAGCTTAGGCCTCTTTGACACATGAGTTCCTTCATGATCACTTTCCCTCCCTTGCCTCCTTGGTGAATGGGGATGCTGTGGGGATACTGGGAGCACAGAGCTCTACCCTACCTTTCTTTGAAGTTCCGTTATACTGTGGACCAGAGTTTCATTCTTTCTTTCCTAGGGTGAGAAAGCAGAGGCATAAGTCTGCATCAGTACATTTCTGTCTGTTTTTATTTAGCTGACTGTTGTTCATTTCACCCCAGTAATGTTTTCCTGCAGTAACTCCATCTTACTTGTATACTGTAAGTAGATCCTGAGATCAAACAAAGGTGAAGTATGCACCAGCTCACCAGGGATATAGGGATATAGATATGTGGGGCTTCCCAATATTCACCATTACCAAAGAAACCCTGCTTCCCACACATTCCCTTCCATGCATGAATATATTCTGTCATGCTTTTTGAGTTGATAATTCATCATATGTAAAAAGGGGAGACCAGCTCAGCTGACAGTCAATGAAGGACAGGCTGAAGAATAAAACCTATTGAATGGTGTTTTCTAGCTTCCCACTTACTAGTCTGGCTGTTTCTTCCTCCACCTCCTGCAAGGCTTTTTCCCTTTCCATGGTGGCACAGTTCTCTTTCTCCCATTCCTCATCTTCTACAGCATCTCTTATTTGGGTGACTTCATTTTCCAGCCTGGATGACACAAGCACGCTCTGTCAGGACCCATGATTGGCAGTTTCAGAACTGATAAAACACAGATACCAGTTGTAAGGGAACTTCAATGATGATATATAAGTTGGAAACCCTTTTTTACTGGATCCATAGAATTGGAATGAATTCCAAAGACTAAAGAGTAAGATCTGACTGATTCCCAGGCCAAACACCCCAATGTCCTCTCAACTTTGGTAAATATTATCCAACTCTGGAGTAATTCATTGAAGCTTGCTATGTTTCAGTGTTCCAGCCACAGAGAAATGCTTGTTTCACAAGATACATGTCCCTGGAGCAAGCACGAAAGTTTATTTTTATCTCTTCTTCTCCACTTGCTTTTTTTGGAGGGAAAACTTCCTGCATGAAACTCTAATACTCACCTTTGAATCTCACTTTCTTTCTCTTGGATTTGGAGAAGAAGTTCTTGATTTGCTTCATCTATTCTCTGCATATCCTTTTCAAGGTCCATGTTCAAACTGATAATATTCCTCTTTGACTGGGCCAATCTTAAGATTTCCATTTTCTCTGACCTATAGACTCAGCCCCCAAATGAACAAGGGCCCATTATTTTTAAGATCAATAATCATTGGACCAAAGGGAATATCTAGAAGATATGTAGTTCATCAATTTTGCTTTTTCTGGGAGCATATTTTTCACTCTTGAGAAATTATATTTCTTAAATCAAGCTTTAAAATTTGTTTCAATAATTCTCAAGGGACAGCTTTCCTAGGCTTTCCACCCCTAAATGCTCAAGATAATAGTGCACCTCCACTCTGGTTTAATGAGAAGCTTTGCTTCCGTAAATAGGCTCTTATACTGGGGAGAATTGTTTCCCTTGGCAACCTTTTCTTAAATTGTTCACAAAGCCTGCTCATGCAATATACTTTTATTAAGTATTTTTATCTAGGCACCTGGTTCATCACTTCAGTTTGGGCCTGGATTTATGCAGAGACAAATGAGATTTCCACCAGCATGCTAGGGCTCAGTCTTTCCCCCTTCTCCTATCTCCACTTCTCTTCCACTTGCCTACCAGAATATGTGAGATTCTACCACGAGAACCATTCCATTGAGCAAATGCAGATTTGCTCCAAGTACAGAATAATAAACATCTTTTTTTTTTTAAATAAATATGAATGAGATAATGATAACTTTGGAATAGTCTAGAAAGTGTCCCTGGCACATGGGAGGCTTTCAATAAACTTTTATGTAAATTGATTTGTTGTTTGTTTTTGAATTATTTAAGTGGGAATAGAGTAGGAAGGCTCAGAGACTTCTGTTTTGAGTAGGAATAAAGCATGGTCTTGGAAAACAAAGTCCTATCTTGGGAGGACTGGTTTGGATGGGAAAGTTATAATAGTTCTCTCAATTAAGGAATGAAGTGCTTGGGAAGGGTGTAGTGAAGATGGATGAATGGAACAAGGATGGAAAGGGAGAGTAGAGTAGAGGACAAATGAAGGTCTCAGTATCAGAACTGATTCATGTCTTGATCCCTGGATGGAGCCCTCATATTCACGATTACTTACTCATAATCTAGCTGTTCTTCCTTGCATTCTTCCATTGTAGATAACCTAAAGTTTCAGTAGAGATATTTCTAATGAATTGGGGAAACAGATCCATTCATAGAACACAGTGAGATGGGGGTTCCCCCAAGTAAGAAAACTAAAATTAACTTTTTCTCCCTTCAATACCCCTAATTTGGCCACAATAAAGCCCTGTTTCTTCTGCCAGAGTAAGGAAACCATGTGGAAACAGGCTCAATGCTGGAAAAGCCAATATACATCCTGCCAGCAGATATGTTCACCGATGGCTTAGCATACACATCCATTTTGAAATTTATACAAGATTTAGGAAGAAATAGAGGTTATCAATTGTTCTTAAGTCTCTCTTTTTTTTTCTCTAAACACAGTTGCTTTCTTTAAGGCCCCAAGGACATGGATGTATATGTATCACTGTCCTGAACAGTCATCTCTGCTCTCTTTCCTGGCCTCACAAGGGTTTCCAGATATTAAGATTGTTAAACAGATTATTAAAAAGGGCCTGGGAAAGCAAGTTGAAGTAAACTTGCTCTCTCCGTCCCTTGGTTCTTTCTTTTTCTCTATTTCTTCTATAACTCTACCTTCCTTCTGGTGTATATTGTCTTCCTGATCCTGCCCTAGTCAATTAGCTTCTGAAGAGTCTAATCTTTTCCCACTGGAATCATCCAATAGGATCTCAGAACCTTCTGAGGATGCCATGATTCTGCCATTGCCATTGGATGGCTGGGGTAGCATGTCACAATGGGATGGTGGCAATGGATTCTCATCATTTGTGCAGAGTCAGTGCTTCTTCCCTTCCATGAGTGCCTGGCTTTCACGGCCAAGTCTACCCTAATCAGCTGTAGGTTCAGTGGATCTAACTTCTAGGTCATACAAAGAGGAAGCCTGTCTTTTATTTCTCTGGCTTCATTCTTTTCAACTGTGACTAAAATGGGAATTCTGGGTGTTGTGGCCAGCAGAATGAGTCTAACTACTCATCCATTCAGCAAACTTCAAAACACCGAAATATCCCCTGTTTTCCAGGCACTGTCTGAACAGTAGGGAGGAAGAGTGAAAAGAATAGACAAAAGCACCTGCCCTTGTGGAGTTTATACTCTAAGGGGTGTGTGTGGTGGTAGCAGTGATAAAGGGATGCAAGGGAGCCATCAATAGAATAAGCAAGTCAGTTAATTTTACTTCATATTAGAAGGAGAATCCTGTGAAGAAACAAATGAAGAGAGTGAGAGGGAAGGTGGTGTGTGTGTGTGTGTGTGTGTGTGTGTGTGTGTTTTGTAATTTTAAACTGGGTTGTTCAAAGAAAGTGGCTGAACATTTCTGAGATAGGGATTTGGATGAGGAGAGAGATATACTGAGTCTTAAGGAAATGCCCAAGAGCCGTGGAGAGGCAGAAAACACAGTTGTAAATTTTGAGTGCCTTGTCCTTGGCCCATGCCCTCGTAAAACGAGGGAAATGTGCAAGCACAGGGAAAACTGGCATGAAATTGAGTGGCTCCATCCTGGCTCTACCTCTAGTCTGGCCCCTAACTACAACCCTTCTATAAATATTGGACCCTCAGCCCAAGAAGGGGCTTCTCTTTCTCCAGATAGCTTGAATTCTTCCGTGAATGTGTACCTACTTTCCTGAATAAACCTCTGTCTGCCTTTGACTGGCATGTGCTAAAATTCTTTTCCATCATGGTTGTCAAGAAACCCTTTGTTCCTGAGTTGAGTTTCTCCTCCCTTCTGGAAACTCCTCGGATGCTTTCCCAGAGACAGCTCTTCTCGCATGACATTCCCAGACCTGAAAGTGGACTATAGATGTGTGAAGAGGCTTGGTGGACAAGAGAAGACTTTGGGGTGTGCCAAGGTGGACAGAGTCCAGCAGATCCAGGAGTACCCCGAGGAGGCACAGAGACTCAAAACTTTTTCTTCAAGGGCTTGTGAATGTGAAGCTTTTCTCTGCACCTGCCACGATCCTGAAAGAGGAGAGATACGGCAGAGGGAGAATTGCCCCAAAACATGGAAAAATTACTTAAAAGAGATTTTTATTAGAAGCATCTGTGTTATCTTGAGTTAGCTCAATGGAGTCTCTTCTTGCCAACTTTAGGAGATCAGTTACAGAATATAAAGAATATATTTCTGTAAACCTGAATGGATATACATTTTGGCCAGATTTTGTACAGTTTAGAACTTTTTGTGAGTCCAAGTCACAGAAACCTGTGATGTTGCAGTTCTCTACTTAATGAGGAGCACATTGAGTTGATTTGTGAGCCAGAGTGACTTCTTAACATACTGTAGTTTCTAACAAACTATTTGTAAAATTAATGGCCTCTGATGACCCCCATTACCATCTCCCTTCTTCCTGAAAGAAGGCATTTCATTGCTTTATGAAGCTGTACACAGAAGAGTAATTAAGTAACAATTCAGGCCAATGGCCTCTCCTAGGAATTAATGGTAGGGAGAGTTCATTAACCCCAGCTGGTTATAGCTTCTCCAGGAAATGCCCTGGACCAAGGTTATCTAGCTGTTAATGGATTGGATAGGGACTTTAACTGGGATAAAAATAAAGCTCCATTTCCTTCCTGGGGAGCTTTTCTCCTTGAGGGGCTACCAAAGGCAAGCTGGCAGGAGCAGTAAGAACCTCAAGCCTAGGGCCCTGCATGGATGAGGACAGCAGATTGCTACCAGCGAGAATTGTTAAATCAAGGTAAAAACAGGGCCTATGGGGCAAATTAAGGTCTTTGATATAAGTCTTCCTGCAGTTTGGGAGATGGCTTGATTAACACCTAGGGCAGCTTTGGAGCAGCTGTTTGCCTTGTTAACTTTTTATGCCAGTCTCTGCCTAGTATGGAAGTGTGGCTGAGAATCGTTGTCCGTTTCACTGGTTCCTGCCTGGGAAAGCTGTGGTTGTGTAGAACTTTCGGGGAAACACCTGCTTCGTTCCAGGGTGGACACTGCAGCTCTGCTGGGACTTTGCATCTTTGCTGCATTGGAACTGGCCAATTCCATCTGAGCCCTTTGTGGAAATTGCCCAGGCTTAGGCCCCTCCAGCTATGTTGGAGGATAAAGAGCTACTTCCTCTGCTTACCTGCCTAATCTCACTTTGAATGAATGGCAAATTCACCTTGGATATGGATATTATAAATTTATGAATTCATTTATTTATAAGCGAGCCTGGTTTTAGAGTTTACCGCCAGGTGAGGCTCTAGAACCTCATTTTAGGTCATTGTTCTTCGAATCCGGATTCAAATACACTGTTTTTCTTATGTCTTGCCTTATTCTTGGTGACTATTTTTATACAAACTTTAGGTCCCAAGAATTTCTTTGAAATTCCTCTTAGAATACAATTCCCCTAGCATTTTCAAAAACAGAAACTTGAACTACACTGAAAAGTAAAATACAGAGACACACAGAGAGAGTATATACCCACGAGCTAATATTCTCACTTGACCCAGTTTTTTTCCTTAATTATATGCAAGTCAAAATTCAGATTTAATAAAATTTGATATCCCATAAATGATGGTAGTTTGAAAAATTATTCATGTTTTCTTTTAAAATTAGATGTTTTAAATTTTGTTGAATCATTGCTATCATCGAAGCAATAAAGAACTAAGAGATGAAAATTCATTAAATTTCTTACTCATAGCAAAAAAAAAGTATTTTTGTTTTCTTTTTTTCTATTAATCCATTTCTTACAGTTATCATAGAATATTGTTGAGGTTTTCCTTTTCATTTAACATTTTTATAAACATTTCCTAGTTGCTAAATATACTCAATATTATTTCAATGTCTGCACAAAATTCTGCCGAGTAGCAAATAGTCATTATTTAACTTTTTTTTTTTTAACTACACTACTTATCTGTTTACCTGTCTGTCTCCTCAATTAGACTTCAAACTCTGAGGGTCCAGAATTGCCTTCCTGAGTTTGCTGGGGCTACCATGACAAGGTACTACAGACAGCAGCTTAAACAACAGAAATTTCTTTTCTCCCAGTCTGGAAGTAGGAAGTCCAAGATCTCCATGTTGGCAGGGTTGTTTCTTCTGAGGCCTCTTTGTAATTTGTAGATTCTTTTTTTTTCTTATGTTCTCACATGGTCACAGTTTGTGTCTATGTCCTCATCTTCTCCTCTTATAAGGACACCAGGCATGTTGGATAACCCACCTGTAAGACTTCATTTTTACTTAATTGCCTCTTTAAAGGACCTGTCTCCAGAAACAGTCACATTCTGAATTCCTGGGGTTAGGACTCTGGGGAGGAAGGGGTTACACCTCAGACCTTAACAGCACTTACATTTTCTTTTTACTTCCCTGTGCTTGGAATACATTAAGTACTCAATGAATATTTAGCAATGGTTGAGTTTATGAACATTCATTTGGTTCCCTTCATCTCTGGTAAAATCAAATCAAAGAATGCTTGTGTGGAACTAGGGGTTTTGCTCAGTGGTAGAGTATGTGCTTAGCATGCATGAGGTCCTGGGTTCAATATCTGCTATCCATCCCAAAAAGACTGTTTGTATAATCATTCCATTGTTCAGCATAACCAAAATATTAAAAGATACTTACCATCTTTGAATATGTATTCAAAATAAAAAAGGTGAGAAAAATAAGGACAAGAGGAAGTGAATGTTTTGCTGGGATTAAAAGAAAAGATTTAAAAATCTTCTATACATATGATGGTACTTCTCAAAATTTTCTGGTTCATTCTTCTGTGAGTCTGAAAAAGTGAAATACAAAAAGAGTGTTTCTTCAGCTGTAGCATGGAGTGGTTATTGTCATATAATGGAGTAGTTAGTTATTCAGTGTACACTTTATATTAGTACCTATGTTGTTTTTTTTCAATAGGATCATTTCTTCTGAGGTACCAATGCTTGTTAACTACTTTAATCTTTGCTTTATTTAAATTTTTCTTCTAGTTTTTATTTATTAGATTTGCAATTAGAAAGATGTCATTAAACAAAAGATTCCTCAAAAAGATGCCTAGAGCCTCTGTGTGCAAACTCTTGTAAAAAATTCTCACTGGGGGCTGGGAGTTTGGTTCAGTGGTAGAGCATGTACCTAGCACAAGGTCCTGGGTTTGACACCAGCACTGGAAAAAAAAATTACAGTGATATTTCTTAAATCTTCTCTATGTCCTCTCTGCCATGTATGAAAACCATGATCATTTAAATTTCTTACTAATCCCATTAGATAATTCTAGAGACTTCTATACATTCAGAGTTTGAAATGTCTTGTTTAACTGAAATAAAATTATGCTGGGATATTTATAAGTGGTCTTTCATTAGCTCAGGATACATATTCCATTATCTTCACTTATTTAACATTTTTTGAGCACCCATAGTCATCACCCTACAGAGGGGTAAAGGTCAGAAGGCAAGTAGAGGGTGCTCAGGATGCAGGGGAGCCTCCAGGTTTACTGACTTAGGGGAGCTTCAAGAGGGTAGTGACTTTGGGTTGAGTTAAATTCTAAAGGAAGGGAATAACTTTACCAGCTGAAGGGAAGGACGTTCTAAGTGCAGGGAAACAGCAGGTTCGAAGTACAGTGTGCTCAGTGAAGAGTAAAAAATTCACTACAGTTTCTGTGTAGAAAAGTACATCTGCAGCTGTGTTACATGAACAATTGAGGTGTAATAAGAGATGGGGTTACGGTTTGGTTATGAGGTGTTCCCTAAAAGCTCATGTGTGGAGACAGAGAA